CACAAACACACACACACACACACACACACACACAAACACACACACACATTCTCCCTTTCTCTCATATCTCTCTCTCTCTCCCTTCCTTCCTCAAAAGGCAGCACACAATGAACCAGAGGGAGGCTGTTAAGAGGTGGGGTGTGATCACATCACTCCTCCTCTCAAAGCCAGTAGCTTCCCCCTCCCCTGGAAAAAGAGCCAAAGCCTTTATGGGCACAGCCTGCAGAGCCTTACTATTACATCTGCCTCCTTGTCACCTCATGGCCTAATCTTTCCTACTCTCCCTCTCATGCCCATCAATATATCACAAGCTACGTCAAGCTCACGGGTGGGGTGACTCAATATCACAAATATGACAATTTTCTCCAATCTAATGTAAAAAGTCAGTGTACTATAATAAAAAATCCTAGTAGGCTTTGTCGTGGAATTGACGAGTTGATCCTAAAATTAATAAGAGTGAAGAACTGCCAAGACAATTTTTAAAAAGAACAAGAATAGAGAAGATCTCTTTCCACATATGAAAACTTAAGAGCTATACAGTAAGATCAGGAGTAGTAATGAACAGTTAGCATTTACTGAGGATTTCCATACTCAAAGCATTGCTCTAAGCATATTACATGTATCATTACACTTAATCCTCAACAATCCTATGAGGTAGGTACCGTTATTATTTACTTACAGATAAGAAATATAAGGGGGGGGGTGGGATGAATTGGAGACTGGGATTGACATATATATACTAATATGTATAACCTGCTGTATAAAAAAATAAAATTAAAATGCAATAAAAAATAAAAACCAAAATGCAATATTAAAAAAAAAAGAAGTCTAAGGTACAGGGAGATTAGGTAACTCATTAAAAAAGGCACAAAGCTAATAGGTAATGGCAGCAGAATTTCCACCTGGGCACTCTGACTAGAGAACCTTTGTTCTTTCCTACCTGCTTCATTAAATCATAATCAAAACAGTGTGTACTGGCTCAGAGATAGACAAATAGACCAATGGAATACAGAGCCCAGAATAGACCCATGAACAAATGAGACCTTGCTCTATAATGGAGGTAGACTAATAGTCAGTATAAAAAAGATAAAGGATGAACTAACCAGTAAACAGTGCTGCAGAAATTATCCATAAGGAAAATGACAAACTAAGACCCTGTTACACACAATTTATAAAATTAAACCCAAGATGGATTAAAGACCAAACCATAAGATATAAGAATTAGGTACACTGAAAATAATAACACTTGTATGAAAAAAAAAACCCACCATAAACAAAGCAAAAAAACAAGCTATGGACTAGAAGAAAATACTTGCAATGTACCTAATAGTCAAAAGATTAGTAAGCAGAATGTATGACAATGTCCACAGAGCAGAAAAAGCCAAATAACCCAACAGAAAAAAAGGAGTGAGGGATAGTAACAAGCTGAAAATCAGAAACTCAAATGGCAAACGAGAGTCTGAAAAGATGCTGGGCTTCATTAGGAATCAGCGAAATGTAAATTAAAGCAACAAGGAATTACCACTTCAGACCTATCAAAGTGGTGAAAATGACCAAGTCTGATAATGCAAAGCGCTGATGAGGCCAAAAGAAATGGGAACCAAAATTTTAGCACATAAACTGGCACAGCACTGGAGCAAATAGGTGATGCTTGATAAGGATGATGAGGTGATACCCAAAGAAGTTTCACTTCCAGGAACAAGAGAAACTCAGACTCTTGCACAGGGATCTGTGTTTAAGAGTGCTGTCTGCCACATTGTTTGTAATTGTAAAAAATATAATCAGAAGGAATCAACAATTCAGCAGCACTGAGCAGGTAAACTGAGCCTTATTCAGTACAAAGGCATATTATAGGTAGTTAACAGATCTCTATGTATCAACATGGATAAACCTCAAAAATACACTGTTACATTAAAAAAAAGCAAGCTGCAAAGTAAATGTGCAGTATGACACCATTCATAAGTTTCCTAACAACACAAAGTCAGAACACTTATTCTTTATGTATATGTATGCACACATTTTTTTTGCATTTTTACAAGTGCAAAAGAACACAAGAAAATGGGGACCTCAGTATCAGGGTACAGGTTATCGCTAAGGAGGAAAGGTGGCAGAAGGAAGGAAGAGGGGGCTTGAACTGTGAATTTAATTACATTAAATTACATTAAATTCTGGGGCAAGTATGGAAAATGCTAACACCTTTTAAACCTGTATGTTGGGTACTTGGATATCTTTAATATTTTTAATAAATGTTTTATATTTAATGTTTTTATTTTTGAAGTACATAATTTAATTTTTTAAAATTTCACATATCTCATGACGTCTGCCCTGCTTAGTTCAGAGATGCTGTGAGGATTAAGAGAAATGACTTAAATTTAAGTTCTTGGTAAATCATATGGTACTTATCAGACACAAGGATTTTATTTATAATCTGCACTATAAAATTTGCCTTAGAGTCTCATATAGTGTGGTCCGTATCAGTGTTATCTTGATTGCTCACGTTTTCCATTGGATTTGATTCTGAATGACTCTCGGCTGTCTTCTAAGTTAAATCCAACCTCAAACGACGAAAACCTGCTATCACTAAAAATATTCATTCAAATCTGCTGTTGCAAGCTTTGAAGGCAACAGTAAAAAAGGAATTCTAAAAGTGTTCTGAGCAATAGCATCACCAGTAGAACGAGTTTATAGGCTCTCAAAGTGACTATCTGAAAGGGACGAGCACTCACATAGCTGAAGTCCATCAGCGACAGAAAACCAGCCTCATTATGTTCCTATGCTTCTGGCATTTTCACATTCATAGTTCCCTCTCCCTCCTGAGAGCACAAGTCTACTGAGGACAAAGCAGCATGACAGTTAAAAGAACAGCTCTGCACTTTTCAGGCTGCCTCGGTTCAAATACTGGCTCTGACCTTTGCTAGGTGCATGACCCTCATTTGAGTTATTTAACCTATAATAATACGGGATTTAAAAAATAATTTTGAAAATTGAGATGACACATATAAAGCACTTAGTGCAGCACCTAGGACAGTAAGACCACAATAAATACTATTACTGCTCCTGCTGTTCTTGTTACCGTTATTATCACTGGCAAGAACTACGTCTATTTCCTTGCTACTGCTTCAGAAGACCTTATGAGTTCAGAGGTCGGCAAATTTTTTTCAAGGGTCAGATAATACTTTTTTTAGGCTTTGCAGGCCACATGGTCTCTGTTGCAACTACTCAACTTTACCGTTGTAGCCTGAAAGCAGCTTAGACAATACATAAATGAACAGGTGTAACTGCGTCCCAATAAAACTTTATTTACAACAACAATCAGCTGACCAAATCTGATCCGTGGGCAAGTTTGCTGACCCCAATCTATGCTGTCTGCATATTATCTCCATATACTGCATATTCTTGCATGGATGATACAAAATGTTGTCAGATTAAAAAGCTATTACTCCTACAGGGACTTCCCTGGTGGTGCAGTGGTTAAGAATCCACCTGCCAACACAGGGGACACAGGTTCGAGCCCTGGTCCGGGAAGATCCCACATGCCACGGAACAACTAAGCCCATGTGCCACAGCTACCGAGCCTGAGCTCTACAGCCCACGAGCCACAACTACTGAGCCCATGTGCCACAACTACTGAAGCCTGCGTGCCTAGAGCCTGTGCTCTGCAACGAGAAGCCACCACAATGAGAAGCCCGCTCACCGCAACGAAGAGTCGCCCCTGCTCGCCGCAACTAGAGAAAGCCTGTGCACAAAAACAAAGACCCAATGCAGCCAAAAATAAATCAATAAATAAATGGAAAAAAGAAGTCATTACTCCTACAATATAGTAACACGCACTTCTTTTTCTCCTCCTCCCTGTTCTATTCTCTATGACTGACTTGGCAGCCCTATAAGTACCCAGGAGACACTAAAAAGTGACTGAAGTTCAGAAAGCTTATCAAAGGCCATAAAAAAGCTTCACCACAGCATACGTTTGGTACAGATGTTAAGCCTTTATAACAGACCGAAAGCTAGTGGCTTTCCCAAAAGGAACTCTAAGAAATAAGCAAAATTATATGAAAAAGCCAGGTTTTCTTTTCAGTCTTAGTTTCTTTTCTGCCCTCATTTTCTAATTTGCTATAGGAAAAGAGTAATGAAGAAATAAAGAATATACTGCTGTTTCTTTAAACATATTTATTTCTTTTTTCTTTTTTTTTTTTTTGCGGTAC